TTGTGGTTGGATGCCTCAGAAAATAAAATGCGACGTTTATAAAACGTCGTTAAATGTTAAAAACAGTGACGTTTAAAAAAGCGCCGTTAAATAAACGCCATTAAATCCTATATTTCCTGTAGTGAAAACTCTATCCACTGATGCCAGCTTAACCCATTGTGATCCCCACCAAAGAAATTGTAGCCCTTTGAGCTAGCTTTCCAAAACCACTTGATTCACCACAATCTGATGTCGAATAAGAAGGTTATACTCAAAATACGAAAGTCTGTCAAGGACGTGCAGCTGCACACACCTTGTGCAACTGCACTTCCATTTGACAGACCCGAATTTTTATTTTTCTTGGACTATATTACGAATTATGTAGGAGATGCCACAAGTTAGTGATGGGGAAGCCCTAAGGGGATCTTTCTTGACCACCAAAGCTCCTCTTTGCCTATAAATACACCTCATCTCCTCCCTTTTCAAAGGATTAGACTTTTAAGCAAGTTTGGGTAATTTTTGAGTGAAAACAATTGCTTGCCTCTCACCTTCAACCCTAATTCAAACAGATCTAAACCTTACAGTAGTTTTAACACATCAAAGTGTATTTGAGGTTTTAAGAGCTTGAATCAAAGTGAGGCTAAAACTTGAGAGAAGCTTTCAACCAAGCAAAACTTTTCTTTTCTCGCCTCTTTCTTGCTTGTTCTTCGATTTGTTGCAAACTGGCTATTTCTTTTAATTTTAGTAGCTTTTAATTTCATATTTTCAGTATATAATTATAGTTAGGGTGCAATTATGGCACAATCATTATATAGGTTACTATTTTTGTCAGTTCACTTTATTTTGCATGTTTTGTTTAGTTTAATAAAATAGCATGCTTAGGGTTAGATTAATCATGTAATCATCTCGCATGTAACCCGGTTTAAAATATCATTGTATCATAGTTTGCATTATTTATGTGTTAGTTGCTCTTTTATGCATGAAATCATATTAAAACCCTTAAATCAGGTTTAAATTCATATTGTGTGTGTGTGAGATGCTTTTGGGATTACCAAGAGCGCCTAACAATTCAGACTCCCGATCTCCTAAACTAGTCTCACTAGTGCAATGTGAAATGGAGATTGAGAGTTCAAATCTGGCAAATTTTATAAAAAAAAAATTCATATATCTGTAAAAATATGCCAGAAATTGACTACATCACCAAATCCCAGAGTCGCTACCTAATATTTTGAAAAAATTAGAAAATTCATGACTCACGCCAAAGGCAATTGTCCGTCATAACCTAAGTGTCTCGGCTCGAGAATTTAGGTATGAGGTGGGAAGGTCATTAATTAAGCACCCCTACTCACTCAATCAACAGATTGGCTTATACTAAGTCATGATGTGGTTTTTATAATGAATATATATTCATGTTCCGGTTATTATTAATACTAACTGTAGGAGGCAAAAAATGAATCAACATAAGGCAAGATTAGAATTCCTGGGCTGGTAGTAGGAAGGCAGCATCGCTAGCAAGATGGAAAGTCAATCCATGATAGTTTTAGTCTGCCCTGACAGCCCAGGATCAGACTAGGCTAGGGAAGTTTTAGGACAAAAGGGAGGCAGAAGAAAGCACGCCGAAGAAGAGCACAGACCCAATCAACCCACGTCCTTTTATTTTAAGCTCGACCAACTCCTAGAAATCTGCACTTGCTGGAGCACAATCCCTAAGGAAAAGGGGCTGACGTGAAAAGTGGAGGAAGCCTAACAGCTAACAACAGTTAGTAGGAGCAAAATATAAAAGGGCAAGCAATCAACACAATCGAGGTATGCAAAAACTTCTACCTGAACCTCACTAAGATAATCCTGCACCTTTATCTACCTTTGTCACTTACTTTGGCATCGGAGGGTCCCCAGGCTGCTCTAGCCACCCCCTTTTACCTTTATTCGAGTTTTTTCAGGTCAGGAATTAAGTTATCTCCATTGCGTCACTGCCACAACAAAGGTGGTTCAATTTTTACCCACGACAATTTGGTGCCATTTGTGCCATGATCCCCTAGTTGAGTTGCCATTATACTCCCAATGACAATTTGTGAAACTAGCATTTGTGTTCCCCCAATTGTAAGCAAAACTCTTCGGCCAAGTTTATCCACTATCAACATTGACATGAAGGTTGAGCCCCCTGTCACAACTGTTGACATAAGTGATGCACTTTCACCTAGACCTATAGTCCGAAAAAGCACTGGGGCATAGAAGCCAATGACATTGATTCCTGTAACTTGTTGGAAGAATGGAATCTCTATTGCCATCACAAATTGAGGCCTATACTTTCTTTGCATGATTTTCTTGAATGGGTGTTTGATGGTTTTTGATACCTCATTTGCTTTTATGAGATCATCAAGTTCTACTTGGACATCTTGAGTGCCTCTGACCTTTTGCAACATCAACTTTGCCTTCTGATGATCGTTGCTCAGCTGAATTAGGCTGTTAGGTGTCTCTGGAAGAAAAAGGGCTCCTAGAGTTATAAATGAGGCAGGGATTGCTGCCATGGCTAGGGAGATTCTCCATCCCCATCCGCCTTTGATCTTTTGAGTGCCATAATTAATAAGGTTCGCTAACAGAACACCGACTCCAATGCTTAATTGGAATCCATTGTTGATTGCACCTCTATGTTTAGGTGGAGCCATTTCTGAGAGATATAGTGGGACTGACTACATAATAAGCATAGCAATATCACATGCTATAGAAAGAAAGAAAAAACTATTATGACAATTTCATTTCCATTTCAAGTAGCATTTACAGTTAAATACCTGGTTTGCAAAGCCAACCCCAAAACCAAGCAAGATGCGACCAAGTATTAGCATATACACATTGAAAGCTGCACCACCAAGAGCTGAACCGGCAAGGAATGCAACCCCTCCAACAAGTATTGATGGCTTGCGCCCAAAGGCTTTAGTGATTGATGAGGCGAAGAAAGAAGCAAAGAGACCAGCCACATAGAGAGATGATGTGAATGATGTCAACAATTGGCTATCAAATATCCAGTAGTTGCTAATATTGGTGTCTTCTTGCATCTTGGTATACACCTCTGGGAAGAATTTCTTAAGAAATGGATCCATAGAGGTCACTCCACCTTCAAAATTTACTCCCATGACTTAATAAAAGAATTTCATCATTTTCCTCTCATTACATAGTCTAGTTTATCTTTGGAAAATAGCAACTATTACAACTAAAATCTGCCAATAAGTTAAAAGACAATTGAAACATGACACCATCCAACTACTACGTCAAAAGCCTTAAGCCCTAAGTATGTGCCCTAACTCTCACTAAATAAATACAAACAAATGATGTTAAATTTTGAGAATCAATAAATACGACCTCTTTTTTGTTGTACCTTTCAATTGAGGACTGCCATTCAAAAAGAATCTTTGTACAAAAATTTCATACAAAATGATATGATCTTTTATGGTGATTGTAGCTTATAGTTTACAAGCATACCATGGCCATATAATTTTTTATGTACTTTATGTATACAGGCAAAGTTTGTAAATCACCTTTATTAGCAATTTAAGTAGTATTTTAATACTTAAAAGTAAACACTGAAAAAATATTTTTGAATTTTCATAAATTATTTCCACCCCAAGATAGAGAAAATCATGTGAAAATAATGAATGCTTTCATTTTTCTTATTTTTGTCACCTAACTATTTTTTAATTATTTTATTTTATTTTATTTATTTATTTATTTATTTATTTTTTTGTATAAAACAGATTATGAAAATTCAACTAGTAAATGTCTAACAATATATGAGATTATATGCTTGAGTTTTTACAAAATGTCATACATTGATGTTGTTCTATATCAATTAAAAATCTTTAAACTACATTTTCAAATATATATAATTAGATTTACAAATCTTATAATTTTGGGCGAATTAAACTAACGATCCCTATAATTTGAGTCTTGTATCACTTTGGTCCTAACTTTTCAATTGCAACACATTTTATCATAAATTTTGAATCTTGTTTCAAATAAGGACAATTGAATATATCATTGCTCAATTTCAAGGGCAAAATTATCATTTTGATAAAATATAAACTAATCTGATAAAAATAAATGTCAACAAATATTTTTGAGTTTTTAAAATTTTTTTGTATCCACTAAAAATAAAATTATGTAAAATTGATAAACTTTCTAGATACTTATTTATTTATTTTTATCAAATTAATTTTTATTATGTGTTTGGATGATGATCATGTAATGGGCAGTTGTTTTTATTTTCATTAAATTAGTTTCTACTTTTCAAAAGTTAAATATGGTGACAACTTTGATATCATTATTATACAAATCCATTAAATCAAAAAAATCCAAAACTAAAAACATTTCATACAATAAATATATTGATTACACATTAAAAGCTTAATAGTCATCCATTACATGGTCATCATTTAAACACATAATAAAAATTAATTTGGTACAAAAAAAAATTAAATGTCTAAAAGATTTATCAATTTTACATAATTTTATCTTTGGTGGATAGAAATTATTTTAAAAACTTTTAAAATGTTTTTTTCACATTTATTTTTGTCAAATTAGTTTATATTTTATCAAATTGACGATTTTATCCTTGAAATTGAGCAATGGTATTTTCAATTATCCTTATTTGAAATAAGATTCAAAATTTAGGGTCAAATGTATTACAATTGAAAAGTCAGGGATCAAAGTGACACGGGTCTCAAATTATAGGGACTGTTAGCGCAATTCTCTCTATAATTTTATCTCAAATTTTAGCAACAAAACTTTAGGGGCAAATTGCGACAATAGTCCATGTACTTCGGTCCTTGCTCGATTTTGATCATAAATTTATAATTTTATTTTAATTTGGTTCAATTGATTACAATTCTTAACAATTTTTTTTTAATGAAAAATATGTATATAAGTGGTATATGACATATTTGTTAAAGTAAACTTATAAATTTATTAACTGCACTGAGTTAACTTCAATCAATTCAGTAATTATTTTCAATCAAAAACACTAACGACATTATCAATCTGACCAAATTGACACAAAATTTAAAATTAAAAGTCAAAATTATACCAATTAAAGATGTAAAGATTAAAATAATACAAGAAACAAGATTTAAGGAGTATCGGTATAATTTGTCCAAACTCTAGCTTTTCTGAGCAAGGATCTTCTAGAGTTTTTTTTTCCTAAAGTTTTCTAGAGTGGTGCATTGTGTGGTTGAGATTTAATGACAAGTCACATCAATTTTTCAGCATTAAATCTCAACCACACAATACATCACTTTAGGAAACTTTAGGAAAAAAACACTCTAGAGGATCCTTGGTCAGCTTTTCTTGTACAACCAATTGAATTGTGTCAGTTCGTCACTTTTATATATGCACCTTCAAAAGTTGGGACTTCCCACATTGTACGGCAAAAAATTGAGATACACTACCAATGGATGCTAATAATGGAACTTAATTCTCATAAAATTCTATTGAAAGTAAATTTTAGGACAATCATCATTAAAAATAATTTTTTGTGACGATTTTTTATACATGTCGTTAAAAATTGACAATTAATGACTTTCTTTGTCACGATTTTTATAAATTATCGCTAAAACTTATAATTAGTAACTTTTTTTGTGATAGATTTTCAAATTGTCTCTGAAAGTTGGAAATTAGCAACTTTCTTTGTGACGATTTTTTTAAACTGTCACTAAAACTTATAATTAGTAACATTTTTTGTGACAAAAATTTTAAATTGTCGTAGAAAATTAACAATTAATGACGTTTTTTAATATCATTAATTACCATATGACCTATAGGACAATAAGTCCACTTAGTACACGTAAGTCTTCTAAAAAATTACTAGGTTGGTCAAGATCAACATTATAGCTGTCCATTTAGAGGTATTTGGAATGATCTAAATAAGTATATTTTTTGATTTTTTACGAAAAGATATGTCACGACCCGAACCCGCCCCCATGGGTTAAGGACGTAACCGGCCAGTAATCCTAAGATTACCTACGGCCTCAAACCAAAACAGACTTAAGACATCAGAGTAAAGGGGCCAAACGGAAGCAAAAATTTAAAACTTTGTCCATAGAGCCGTGCTTATATGCACATCAACAAACCATACTCAGATACGTTAATAACCCACATCAAAAATACAGTTTCACAAAATTCATTACAGACAGGATCATCCAAACGAGTCAACCTATAACCGACTATGTACAGACATACACTAGGCCCTTGCCAACAAGACAAAACATAAGTACACAATAAAAGGGCAAGGATGGTCTCATGCGTGAGGCACAACAATTCTATTCATTAAGTCCATAAATGCTGCTGGAGCATTAGTCACTCCAAATGGCATAACAAGAAACTCAAAATGACCATACCTCGTTCTGAATGCAGTTTTCTCAACATCCTCTGCCTTAACCTTCAGCTGATGATACCCTGATCTCAAATCAATCTTAGAAAACACCTGTGATCCCTGCAACTGGTCAAATAAATCATCAATACGGGGTAGGGGGTATTTGTTCTTTACTGTTACCTTATTCAATTCCCGATAATCGATGCACAGGCGCAAAGTACCATCTTTCTTCTTTACAAACAACACTGGTGCACCCCAAGGTGAAGTGCTAGGCCGTATAAACCCTTTATCAAGAAGGTCCTGCAACTGTTCCTTTAATTCTTTCATTTCGGCGGTAGCCATCCTGTAGGGAGTTTTAGAAATAGGCTGGGTGCCTGGCACAGTCTCAATAGTAAACTCTATCTCCCTGTCTACCAATTCCCCTGGTAATTCATTTGGAAACACATCTGGGAACTCTCTAACAATGGGAATATCATTCAATTCAACATTCACGGATTGTTCAGTCAATACATAACACAAATAACCCTGGCACCCCTTCCTGATCAATTTACATGCTTTCATTGCAGATATCAAATATGGTGGAGGCACTACCCCATTTCCCACAAACACAATCTCTTTCTGTTCTGGGGGTTTAAACACAACCCTCTTTGTCACACAATCTATAGTGGCACAGTATTTGGTCAACCAATCCATGAAACTAATCTTGCTTAGCCTCCAAAAAACCGAATTTACGGGGTATCTGTAGCTTAAAATTTTAGTTCAATTTAAACATCTCATCTGAGGTTTTCAAAATCACCCAAGTGTTCAATTCTCAAGTCCGAAAGGATCAATTTGAATTCCCTATAATTTTCTTCGTATTTCTTTTTTTTTTTTTTTGGGTGGGTATGTCATAAATTAAAGACAAAAAACTTAAACATTTACAAGGGGCATACCCCAGGTAATACAACAATACCTCACGACCCCCAAAAGTGGGGGGGGGGGGACTAAAGCAAATAAAAAAAAAACTAATTATAAACAACACTACAACATTATCTCCAACAAGATTGCTAAACAATAAATTTAAATTTGCCCATATATCATTTTTTAATCCCAAGTAACCCCGATCATCAAAAAAATATATGAAAACTTGGAAATGATACATAGGCAAATAAACAAAAAAAACTTACTATTTATTAACCAAGTCAACTCATAACAATGGCTGAACACAAAAATGATTGGCCACCAATTGAAAAGTGGCTGGCACCTTCTCAAAACACTCCCCACCATTTGTAACAAAACCGTGGGCCAAATATAAATGGCCCCACAGATTTCTTCATATAAACCAATTAGGCGTGGGCCCAAAATC